CTTCACTTGCGGCTGTTGTGGTTACTACTAATACTACTACCACGGCTGTTACTACTACTGCTAATGACCTGATAGCCTCAATTAAAGAGGAAACGCGATGTGATTGGCTGGGCAAAAATGAAGGGGTGTGGCTTAAAACTTCTGCATACAAACTTGAGGACGATATCAATAATGCATTTGATAATCTTAAAAATAACATCATCAACAACAACAACAATATCAACAACAACAACAACAACAACAACAACAACAATAATAACAACAATAACGGCAATAACCATGTAAATGAGACCTTCAGTAGCGGTAACAGTACTAAGGATAGCAGTGTAGTAACGTCAACTTCTAAAGCAGTCGCGTCAGCAGCCACAACAGCTAAAGTAAAGCTAACAGCTGCTACAAAACCATCAAAGACAGCAGCGACAACAGCAGCATCATCAACCTCAGCTACAAAGTCAGCAATTTCGTCAACTGCCTTTGTTAATTTATCATCTAAGGCACCTACAACAACAACAACAACAACATCTAGATCATCAACAACAACAACAACATCTAGATCATCAACAGCATGTAGGTCATCGTTGACATCAGCAACTGCAACATCTAAAACATCAACAATGATGACATCAACCACAGCAAGTATTACACTTGCCAAAGCAGCAGCAACAACAACAACATTAGCAACTCCATCTGCTGCAACTACGCTGAAAGCGTCAACAACCGCAACGACGTCAGCCACTAAAGCCACAACGGCCACACCAATATCAGCAGTAGCAGCAGCAATAATATCAACTTCTAAAACTGCAACAGTTGTCAAGACATCAAAAGAAACAACATCAACATCAGCAAAATTGCTACCCCCAGTACCAGCTTTAAGAGCCACAACAACCACACCAGCGACAAGGACTAATGCTAAAATAGCAAACGCCCATGATGTAGCCGCTACAACTGCCTCAGCGCTAAAAGCATCGGCAACAACATCAGAAAAAACGTCAACAACAAAAACTACAACATCTGCAACAAAAACAACAACAACATCAACATCGGCAAGACTGTCGTCTAAATCTACTGCCACTACTAGTAGATTTACTACTACTACTACAGCCGCTACTACCACTACTACTACTACAGCCACTACTACTTGTACTACTCCAGCGACAAAATCATCATCGGCTCCAGCGACTAAAGTATCCAAAACAACAACAACAACAGCAACAACAACAACAACACCAACAACGAAACTTAATAGCAGTTCTAAAAATAGCAGCCAATCAACGTCGTCGTTCTCTACGTCATCGTTGTCATCATCAGCAGCGATGTCAGCTACTTCTTCTTTACAGAGGACTCTGCAAAGAAATCAGCAGCAACCACAGCAGCCACAAACAACAACGAAGGCAGCACGCATTAGTAGTATCAGTAGTTCTACTTGCATCAGTAATCACAATAGTAGTAGTAAAAATACTAGCAACAACAACAACAACAAAAAAAACAACATATACATTACAAACATCAGCAATAGTAACAAGAAACTTGTATCAAATGGCAATAAAAATACTACCAATACTACTAAGACTACTACCACTACTACTACTACTACTACTACTGCTGCTGCTGCTACTACTACTACTACCACTGCTGCTACTACTACTACCACTGCTGCTGCTACTACTGCTACTGCTACTACTACTACTACTAGTAATACTTTTATCACAAATCTTTTAAATACTACTAATGCGTCTTTTGGTAATAGTAGAGCGGAGATTTTTGGCAATGATAATATAAATAATAATAATATGAATAATTATAATAATATAAATAATAATAATATAAATAATAATAATACAAATAATAATAATAAAATTAATGATGTTAATTTGACCAGACCGTTAACCACTAAATCAAATGCTGCCAGGTTGTACATTGATAGGATAAATAAGATGAACTCCAACAACAACAACAACAATAGTAATAATAATGATAATAATAACTTGAAAAGCAATAATAATAATAATAATAATAAAAATACTACTACTACTAATAATAATAATAAAACTTCGTTTGAGAATATCAGCGCCCTATCCAGTGCTAGTCAGTGAAGTTAATTCTATTACCATGACTAATTTTATTATTATTGTTGTCGTTGTTGTTGCTGCTGCTACTACTACTGCTGCTGCTGCTGTTACTGCTAATACTGCTGCTGCAGCTGCTACTACTACTGCTACTACTATTACTACTACTAGTACTACTATTCTACTACTACTACTACTACTACTACTACTACATCTACTACTACATCTACTACTGCATCTACTACTACTACTACTACTACTACTACTACTGCTACTACTACTACTACTACTACAACTACTACGACTATTATTACTAATATTATAATAATTTAGCTATTATTTATTATTATTGTTATTATAATTATTATGAATCTTGAATCGTCATTATTATTATTTATTAATATTTATTATTAATAATAATTATTATTTAATGCATTTGTATTTCAGATTCTCAACTCAGGAGGACTAGAGCCGAGATTCGGAAGTACAACCTCAACCAAATGTCCTCTTTGCCATCTAAAATATGATGATGATGATGATGGAGATGGAGATGGTTATGATGATGATGGTTATGATAATGTTGATGATTGTGATCCTCCATGCCATCTAAAATATGATGATGATGGTTATGATGATGGTGGTGATGATAATGTTGATGATTGTGATCCTCCATGCCATCTAAAATATGATGATGATGATGATGGAGATGGTTATGATGATGATGTTGACGAGATGGTTATGATGATGATGATGTTGACAATGATGGTGTTGATGATGGTAATGATGATGATGATGATGTTGGTGATAATTGTGATGATGACGATTATTATTATTATTATTATTATTATTATTATTATTATTATTACTGAAAACTATGATGAAATAATTATATTTTTAAATGTAATTGTAGTGGCTATTATTATTATTATTATTATTATTATTATTATTATTATTATTATTATTATTATTATTATTATTATTATTATTATTATTATTAAAGCTGTCTTAATAGCTATCCGTTTTTTTGCGTGCGCTCATTCATTAATTTAGTCATTCGTTCAGTCGTTCGATTCATTCGTTTGTCGATCTGTTAATCTATTTATTCATTCATTTATTCATTCATTAATCTGTTCATTCATTCATTCATTCATTCATTCATTCATCCATTCATTCATTCATTCATCCATTCATTCATTATACCATGCATCTATTCGTTGTTTCAGTAATTTATTCAATTATTCAGAAATTCATTAATTCAACCAAACCATTCATTCATTCCTTTGTTCGTTCCTTCATTCATTCATTCATTTATTCATTCATTCATTCTTTCATTCATTCATTCATTCATTCATTCATTCATCTATTCATTCATTCATTCATTCACTCATTCATTCACTCAGCTTATTTATTTTTCATTTTGCTACTTCTCTCTCTATCAGGGACATGTTTTTTTTTTCATTTGATCTAAATGAATATTTTATGTATGTATCTATGTTTGTTTGTGTTTGTTTGTTTGTTTGTATGTTTGTATGTATGTATGTATGTTTGTATGTATGTATGTTTGTTGGTTTGTTTGTTTGTATGTATGTATGTATGTATGTTCGTTGGTTTGTTTGTTTGTATGTATGTATGTATGTATGTGAATGGGCGTTGAGGAAGAAAGGAGTGAATGAGAGACTTGTTAAAGCTGTGATGCAGCTGTATGAAGGGGCAAAGACAAAGGTGAGGGTTGGAAGGGGGATGTCGGACGCTTTTGGTGTTAAGGTAGGAGTGCATCAAGGATCAGTGTTATCACCGTTTCTGTTTGCAATTGTGATGGATGTTGTGTGTGGAAACATAATGGAGGGGTTGTTATTTGAGATTTTGTATGCAGATGATTTAGTCTTGATGGCTGATAGCATGGAAGAATTGCAGTTAAAATTTGACAGATGGAAAAGTGTTATTGAAAAGAAAGGGTTAAAAGTTAATATTGGTAAGACGAAGGTAATGGTGAGTGGGGAAGGTGGGGAGCGAGTGATAAGTAAAATAGACCCCTGTGGGGTATGTGACAGGAGAGTGAAGGCTAACTCGGTATTGTGTATAGGATGTCAGAAATGGGTGCATAAGAGATGTAGTAGTGTGAGGGGGGCACTGAAAAAGGTGGAAGGCACGTTCAAATGTAAGAAATGTGTTCATGGTGTGATTAATAGGACGGACGCAAGGACGGGGTTGAGTGGTGGTATTGAAAGAGTGGAAAGCTTTGTTTACCTAGGGGATAAGCTGAACGCGGATGGAGGATGTTTGAGCGCTGTTACGGCTAGAGTTCGTGTAGGATGGATGAAATTCAGGGAACTGGGTGGGGTATTGTGTGGAAAGAAATGGTCAGTGAAGATGAAAGGGAGGGTATATAAAGCATGTGTGAGAGCAGCGATGGTATATGGTGGTGAAACTTGGGTGTTGAGGAGAGAGGAGGAAAGTGTACTGCAGAGGGCTGAAAGAGCTATGGTGAGGATGATGTGTGGGGTTAAAGTGAAGGATAGGAGGAGTAGTACAGAGCTGATGTCAATGATGGGACTGAATGAGGACATTGTGACATTGAGATCGAGATTGCGGTGGTATGGACATGTGTTGAGAAGGGATGAAAGGGTCGGGATTAGGCGAGCGTTGGAATTCGAGGTTGAAGGAGTGGTAGGAAGGGGTCGTCCGCGATTGGGATGGAGAGAGCAGGTGGAGAAGGACAGGGTGAAAGCGGGGTTGGTTGCGTGATACTGAGGCGAGTGACAGATGTGGATGGCGTCGAGGGAAATTTCGGTTTCATCATAGGTAGCCAAACGGCAACCCCCGATCTCGAGGAAAATGTCGTCTAAACGTGTGTTTTTGTATATGTATGTATGTATGTATGTATATATGTATGTATGTATGTATATATGTATGTATGTATGTATGTATGTATGTATGTATGTATGTATGTATGTATGTATGTATGTATGTATGTATGTATGTATGTATGTATGTTTGTTTGTTTGTTTGTATTTATGTATATTTGTTTGTATGCATGTTTGTATGTATGTATGTATGTATGTATTTATGTATGTATGTATGTGTGTATGTATGTATGTATCTATCCATCTATCTATCTATTTATGACATCAAATGGTATTCATCAATTATATATATATATATATATATATACATACATACATACATACACATACATACATACACACAGTATATTTTTATAGCGCAAATTTTATTTTATTTCACTTTCTTGCTTTCTATGTTAGAAAATAATCGTTAATAATTATTATCTGTAATTAAGTATTATTATTTATTGTATATGTATATAATATATTATTTATTATTATTATTATCATAACCAGTCATTATGTTAATGCTGTCATATTAATTAGCCATCAGTATTACATGTTAAGCCATTTTTCTAAGAGTCATTTTCTTAGTCATTTCCATTGATCATGTTGTTGTTATTATTAATGTTATTGTTGTTGTTATTATTATTGTTAATGTTATTGCTGTTATTTTTGTTGTTGATGATGTTGTTTTTGTTATTATTTTTATTATTGTTGTTGTTGATGTTGTTGTTGTTAAGATTATTAATATCAAACATCTCTATATCTGTCTATATATACTTTCTGATCAGCGACCATTGTGTGTATCTTTGTTTTATCTTTGTGTATCTGTGTTTTTGTATATATATATGTATGTGTGTATGTATGTATGTATGTGTGTGTGTGTGTGTGTGTGTGTGTGTGTGTGTGTGTGTGTGTGTGTGTGTGTGTGTGTGTGTGTGTGTGTGTGTATGTATGTATGTATGTATGTATGTATGTATGTATGTATGTATGTATGTATGTATGTATGTATGTAAGCATCAAACTATTTTTGATCAAACATCATAAATAAAACATAAGCATCTAACAAAACGTTTTGGAAGCATCGAACTAGGTAATCGTTGACAGCTGTATGTCTGGGGTCTGTGTGTATCTATGTGAGAACTCCAATGAGCCAAATCTTCGAGAAGTCTTTAGTGGAGGACTTCCCGAAGACAAATGTTTCGGCCCTGAACTACCTCCTCACATTCTCGGGGTTACCGGACCACGTTCTTTGATCACTCGGACACTCCTCGATGACTGTTGATTTTTCAGCGGTGTTGATCTGCTATTTGTACCAAAATTCAGGTTTATATTTCCATACGAAGTCGTAGCACTGAAGCCATGGCTTGCTAATTTAGCCGACCTTCCTTTTTATTTTGGTTTAGCCACAACCAATACGAAGCTTGCTCTGCGCTACCAATAACTTTCTTCAGGCATGCTGTACGATTCCTGCCTGACAGACCCAACTCTTTGAAAAGTCGCTACAACTGTTCCTCTTGCACCAGCCTCAACAGCTTAGAACCTGGTTTTGTATCCTTTCTTGCTTAAATCTTGAATCAGCTGTTCGTACTTTGTAGTTTTTAAATTGTGGCTATGTTTTTCTATGTACTTATGTGTATGTATGTATGTTTGTATGTATGTATGTTTGTATGTATGATGTTTGTATGTATGTATGTTTGTATGTATGTATGATGTTTGTATGTATGTATGTTTGTATGTATATATCTTTGTATGTATGTATGTTAAAGCCAAAATATGATGAATGACACTGAACAGCCAAACATTAAGTAACAAGTGGATAATTAATTAATTAATAGAAACCACTCGTTAATTGCACACGTCGGCATTCAATTGGATATTTATGTATGTATGTTTTTTTGTATGTTTGTTTGTATATATGTATGTTTGTATGTATGTTTCTATGTACGTATGTATGTTTGTATTGCTTATTTTTGTTATTTATGATAATTATTATCTTAGCAATTTCGCTTATGATATTCTATCTCATGTCTCAACACTGTACACTGTAAATATTTTTATTAGCGATATTAATCGACATAATTAATCGGTCCTTCAATTAATTAACTAACTAACTGGTTAATTAATTAGTTAATTAATTAATAAATCAATAGCCTTAATAAAGTCAATGGTAGTAATTTTAATTATTAACGATATTAATCGACATCTTTAATCGGTCCTTCAATTAATTTATTAACTAACTAACTAACTAACAATTAATTAATAACCATTATACAGTCAACAGTAATTTTAATTATGTCAAAAATAGCAAACGCATTGATTTTTTTCTCCTTCATTTAATCGTTTGTATTAATTTTTTTAAATTCTGTTCGTTTGTTCGTTAGTTCGTTCGTTCGTTTGTTTGCTTGCGATTTGTTTGTTATGTCATTGCTAGCTTGGTTATATATATATATATATATATATATATATATATATATATATATATATAGTTTTGGTTTTCTATGATATTTTACATGTACTTATATGATTGGCATTTACTGTTATTACTATACTCTTTACTTACTATTACTTATTATCATTATTATTATTATTTATTGTTATTATTATTTATTATTATTATTTATTTATTATTGATATTATTATTATTATTCATATACGCTAGGTTCACCAGTTTTGAAAACTGCAACTTTTTACAATCATTATTATTACCGTTATTATTATTATTATTATGATTCAATGTCTCTATAAAGAATCAGCGATCGATTTTATCAAAGTAGATAATACGCTCTTAAAATATGGCCAAATAGAGTCGCTTAGTCATTTGGAAGAAAAAAAAATCGAATGTAGCTTAAATCATGTTTTCTCGCTGCAGAGTCAAGGTTCACTAATTTTTAATATAAAAAATTTCATCAAAGCCAACAACGTATCCCGTTGGTCAAAGTCCACGGAAAATCTTGCCGGAGTCCTCTACAAATTTGCTAGGAAGTATTTAGTCCAGCAGTTGCCTACTAATGCAAATTTGTTTAGATGGGGTAAAACGAAAGCCCTCAATGCCCTCTCTGTGATTCTCGACAGACAAATAAGCACGTAGTTTCCAATTGTGGTTCTACATCCGCTCTGGAAAGATATACCGAAAGACACAAGATATTGGCCGTGATCATCAATTGGCTGAAAATATCCGCTCCAGCCAATTGCCGCATATTTGCAGATTTAGAGTCTGAGGGTATTCGCCCAATATCTCAATTATTCAACACTTTACGACCCGATATCGCCATACTTTAAAATAACAAAATTGAGATTCTAGAATTAACTGTGTGCCATGAAACCAATCTAGAATCCTCCAGGCAATACAAGAGAAATAAATACTTTAATAATTTGCATTGTTGTTTAAATAAAGACTATAAACTAACATTGTTCAATAGTTATAAACTCATTCGAAATAACGCCTATTGGTTTTTACAATAATTTTAATTTGTCACTGTTTAAAGTTCCATGGGCGCTATCATTTAATGATAAATTGATAAACACTGTTATAAGATTATCGTATGACATTTACTGTGACAGGAACAAGCTATGATGCTAATTAAATATATTTCAACGTTCTGCACTTAACTTCACAATGAGCAAAATGGTCTTAACTTTTAATATTATTTTATACAATTTTTACAAATTTTATCATTGCGCATTATTTAATTAACATTAACTTATATATATATATATATATATATATATATATATATATATATATATATATGTATATATATATATATATTATTATTATTACGGAAATTTATATACAGCGCTTTTTTATTGTTGAATCTCAAAAGCGCTACTAAATCATAGACAAATAAGACGGACATTCATTGTGCAAATAAATAAGTTTTAAGTTGACTTCGAAATTGTAAATATGATAGGTTAGGGTCACGTAAGTATGGAGGTAAACCATTCCAAACAATCGGGCCAAGAACCGCAAAGTTGCGGGAACCCGTCACCAACTTTGTGGTCGGGATAAAAAATAAATTGCGCTCGGTTGATCGGAAGGAATATTTTGAAAAATGAGATTTGTATGATTCCAATCTATCGATGAGGTAGGGAGGTGCTGTGTTATTGACACATTTAAACATCAAAATATATATATATCATTGTATGTTTTTTATGGTGAAAAATAAAAGATGTTCCCATTTATTTAATAATATTATTATTAATATTTATTGTTATTATTATTATTAATTAATTAATATTATTTATTATTTTTTATTATTATTATTATTCATCTATCTATCCTATCTCATTTTACAGTTTTTATATTTGCGCCAACCACCCTTTTGTAATCTGCAACGAAACTTGTTCATTAATTTTCTCAATTTTTTCAATTATTATTGTTGTTATTATTAAAATTTTTATTATTATCATTGTTTGTTTGTGTGTGTTGTGTGTGTGTGTGTGTGTGTGTGTATCCTTTCGCTATCTTCAGTTAAAACAACGAATTTTGTCAATCTTCGAGTTTGTTATTATCTATTTATTATTATTTATTAAATATTATTGTTATTGTTGTTCCCATTTTTATTATTTTTATTTTATCTTTCTTCCGCCTTTTTCGAAAATGTTTGATATTTTATACGGCTTGGAATCTTTTTTTGTTTGTTTTTGTTTGTCTGTTTGTTTGTCTCTGTGTGTGTGTGTGTGTTTGTCTGTCTGTGTGTGTGTGTGTTTGTGGATTTATCTGTAAGTTAGGATCTTTTTGTTCTTGATTATCAACCAATTAATTAATCAATCAGTCATTCAATTGACAAAATATTTGATTATTTGATTTATTACATATTAAATGATTGAATTCTTATGTAAACGAGTGAACGAATGATTGATTAATTTGATTAATCGATCGATTGATTGATTGATTTGATTGATTTGATTGATTGATTGAGAGATTGATTGTTTGATTGATTGACTGATTGATTGATTGATTGATTGATTGATTGATTGATTGATTGATTGATTGATTGATTGATTGATTGATTGATTGATTGATTGATTGATTGATTGATTGTAATCTATCGATCTGTTTTTAATCGTTCTTTTGTTGGATTGTTTTGTTTTTATAAAAATAAAAAAAATGAAAAAAAACTCTTTCAAGTTTATGCAATTTTTTATTTGAAATATAAAATGAAAGAAACGTGATGATGGGAGGAGCTGTTTCAAATGCGAGTGAGAGAAATATAAAGAATTATTATGAAACAATTATTCCATTATGATAATATTCTCATTTTTTATTCTGATAAAATGTTTTTTGGAAAGTGATCTAATCGTCAAGATTCTTTTTCGATCGTTGCAGGAAGAAAAATTTGAAAAACAAAACTTACCGAGAAATCATTTTTTAATTGGGGAACTTTTTGCCGGAAGTAGTGTTGGGAGGCGGTTGTAGCAGAACTGCAGGCTTGCTTGTGGCCCCACTTTGTTGCTTTCTTTGAGGATGCTTTGCTGGGAACAGGAAACACTCGGAAAGACTGGCGTGCAGTTTCTTTCGCTAGCTGATTTTCCACCGCCACACGCGTAGGACATCTTATCGATTAGGTGTTCAGTGCTGTTCGAGGTTGTCTGTTTCAAACTGATCTTAGATCCGGGGTTATGCTCTGCCAGAAATCCGTCTGGGAAGTAGTTCTTCTTTCCGGCACTTTCGGCGATTCCGGAGAAATTCTTCACGTTGATCCCGTTCGATCTGGATGAGGTGGTGCTGGGTGGGAGCGGGGGCAGGCTGTCCACCACCTTTCTTTCCTTCACCAGGGGTGAAGTTTTGACTTTCCACACTCCGTTCTCGTACGAAGTTTTGATGGTCAGCTGGGAATGTTTGAACCTGCAGTCCAGGTCTGTCGGGATGTGGATACTCGGTTTCCTCCTGACACCGCAGACAGGGACCCTCATTATTTTGTGCCTCTCCTTGTCGTAAACTATCGCGTCGCCCGACTTGATGATGTTATCGTCCTCTGTGCAATTCGTCGAAGCGTTGAGTTGCGAGATTTCAGTAGTGTTTTGAGACTTACAACGCTGAGGTGCGGTTGAACATTTTGAAGAATCACCACTGGTAACAATGCGGGAAGTGGAGGCAGCACTCGCTAGCCGCTTCATCTTTAGCGGAATGCAGCACCTGCCGTAGTAAACATGTTGCGGGCACGGGACTGCCACCATCTGTTTCGATTCCCACTCAAGGGAGTCCGAGGACTTGGGACAGTTGCTGGATTTGTTGCTCACGTCGACGATCTCTATGTTCTGTGGCTTCTTCTCTAATTTTTTCAACTGGATGCCGTCTGAGTTGACTTCGTAAGATTTTTTCAGTTGGCTGGACAAAAGTTGTTGCCACTGAGTTTGTTTTCGTTGAAGTTTCATCTGCTGAACGCTGGCCGTTGTGTGTGGACGTGGTCGTGTCACTGCTTTGTTGGCTACTGTTGCTGAATTTGTCTTTATCACATTTTCTTTCTCTTGCAAACTTTGTTCCTTCTCGTTGTTTTTACACAGCTTTTCAGACTCGTTAAGCATTTCTTTTGAGCGATCCAACTTCATTTGACTGTTGAATTGTTCGCGTTGTTTTTGTTGCTGCAACTGTTGCTGCAACTGTGACTGCAACTGTTGTTGTAAATGTGGCTGCAACTGTGGCTGCAACTGTGGCTGCAATTGTTGGTTCTTGGCGAGTTGCATCTGCTGTTGGATTTGTTGATAGTTTTGCTGCAGCTGTCGCATTGAAATTTTCTCCAATTGTTCGTTGTTGTTCTGTCTGTTGAGCTGTGGCATCATAGGCGGTTGGTTAACCTTATTGTTACTGTTCACCACGTTTTTAGATTTTTCCAGAGGGGGCCTAACAAATCTACTAGGGGGGTAGGGCGGACCCCAGTAGAACATAGGGGGTGGTCGTGGGGTCGGGTACTGTCCGTAGTAGGATGGGTAGGTAAAGATCGGTGTTATGTTGCGATAGTTGGATGAATAATTCGTCCCTCTTTCATTTGGGAGACAGTTCAAGGCTGCTGTCAGAACCTCCATGATAGTGTTTGGCTTTTCTGATAATTATTTTATTATAATTATAATATTATGTTATAATAATAATATTATAAACTATTATTTTATTATATTATTTTAATCAGCTATAACAGTACAATGATAAGATTTAATGGTTGACTTCTTTGAAAAATAATCAATGTTAGAAATGCTATAAATATCTATAATGCTGGCTACTAATAACGTTCCTTCATTCGTTCATTCATTCATTTAGTCAGTCAGTCATTCATTTAGTCATTCATTCGTTCGTTTATTAATTCCTTAATTCATTCAATTATTTCATAATTTATTCATTCATCCATTCATTTATTCAATCATTCGTTCGTAGCCCATCAACATCGTTATAGAAAAAAAAATTATTCAATTATTTATTTGTTTATTAACTAACTCTGGGCAGAAATTCTACTAAGTGCATGGCTCATTTCAAATTATTATTATTATTATTAGTAGTAGTAGTAGTGATAGTAGTAGTAGTAGTAGCAGTAGTAATAGTAGTATTAGTAGAAGCAGCAGCAGCAGTAATAGTAGTAGTAGTAACTGTTAATATTAATTAATATTACTAATTATTATTGTTGCTGTTATAATTATTCTATTCTATTTTATATTATGTATATTATTTCTTATTATCTAATTTAATTTTTGAAAATTTGAATGAACGAATAATTGATTGACTGATTGAATGAATTAATGAGTGAATGAATGGACGAGTGAGTGAATGAAATGATTGAGCAAACGAACAAACGAATAAATGAATGAGTGAGTATGTGAATGAACAAATAAGCGAACGAACGAACGAATGAATGAGCGTTAAAAATAGTTAATTTTTAGAATGATTCCGATTTTTTATCCAAAAAGTTAATACGGTTGTTATTGTTACTGTTTATTATTATTATTATTACTATTACTATTGTTGTTATTGTTATTATTATTATGACTATTTTTTTCAACTTTTGAAGTTTTTCAATAAGAACACTCCATTTTATTTGTTTTCATTTTAGGATTTCGTTTAATAAAACCTATGTTGACGTCACGGAAAATAGAATTAGTATAGCGCGAATTTTATTCTCGAAAACTGGCTTTTTTTTATATTAAGAGGGATGGGACCATGGATAAAAATCATTATATGATTATATATTCATTATATATCGATTATATGATTATTTATTGATTATATGTTGATTATATGATTTTATTATATATGATTATATTTATCCATGATTATATATATCCATTGGATGAGACATTAAATAAACCATCCCGACAAGCAGCCGACGATTTCAATTTTTGGTAAATTATTTCACTAATAGCGATAATGGGCTGCATACAACCAATGGGTGTCTATGAGCCGAGAATCTATGGAAGACAACCACTCCTCATTTTAACCAGTGTTGTTTGTTAATTAAGTCTGTAAAATTTGTTATTTAAGTCAGTAAAACTATGTTTTTAGACGGATATATTCCTCTGTTATTGTTTATACAGAAGGGTTTAAGGATGTTTATACTTAATTTGTTGTCAGTTAAGTCAGTGAAACTATGTTTTTAGACAGGAATATTCATCATCTGTTGTCTATATAGACTCGAATAGAGCTACAAACTATAACTCGATCATTTTGGAAGGTGTGGAACTGTTATAGTTAATTAAGCTGGTAGTTTTTTTTTATATGATATCAATGTAGTACTCAATAGCATAGGCATAAAAATTTATAATTTCATAAAGTGAATCCCATTTTTTGATACATAGTATCTATGGATATATAAATATATATCCATGAGAGTATCTTGGATCGACCGAATAGTCATCGTTATGTATTACTATAGTTCGATTTTTGTGGAATGTGACATTGTTATAATGTCAGTCTCCTCTCTCTCTCTCTCTCTCTCTCTCTCTTTCTTTCTCTCTCTCTCTCTTTCTTTTTCTCTCTCTCTCTCTCTTTCTTTTTTTTTCTCTCTCTCTCTCTCAATCTCCCGAGGTCCTGAACATGAAAATGTATAATTTTGTGATGGAAATCTCGACCCTTTCGATATATAAAATCTTGAAGCGACTAATTTGTGACATGCCATCATTGCTGTACCGAATGCACATACATTAGCTCGATTTTTTGGGAATGTGACGCTCATGTAGTGACTTGAGCTGGCAGTTAACTGGATTCATTACGTGTTCTTCGCACTGCGTTGCCGGCCATTACTTCAAACTTCGGAGTATGCTTCGGAGAATAATTGTATAGTCCGTGAATCATTTTATTCGATTAAGCTATATATTTTTCAAATATATTTATTCACTTATTTATAGATTCATTCAATTATAAATTATATAAAACCCGATGCAAACGATTCAAATTTTTTTTACAAAGTTGGAAAAAGCATAAAAAGACAGTAAACAGACAATAAGCAATACAGATTTCAGTTATAATTCATCAAAAATTCAAATTCCTAGTCAATCAGAGACAGTTGTTTGCAAAATTTTGTACGGGAAATTGTTTCCGCAAGCGGGCAGCCTACAGACCGGAGCTCTGTAGGCACTGAGGCAAGGACCACAAGCCGGTGCTCCCAAGTTAGGAGGGATCGGAGGAGGTGGAGGCAAGCAGGGATAGACGCAGGGATAAGGACTTTGGCATATGCACCCTGGTGGGCACAAACACACTGGCGGTAATGGCGCAGGAGGATTTAATCCGCAACAACCTGGACAGCCACAGCAGGCAGGACCTGTTGGACAGCAGCCAAGACCACATCTGCAGCCACAACCGCAGCAGCCACATGCACCACAACTGCGTCCGTACCAACATGGCGTGTTTCCGTAGCATGGTGGAGATTTGCAGCTGTCCACTTCTTCTTGCTGTTCGAGTTCATCTTCAAAGTTTTGGCGCTCCGTTACGAATCCACTGGTGGGAGCACTTTTTCCTGTAAGAGCGCTTAAATTTTTTGTCAAACCAGTCATGACACTTGGCGGGGTTGTCAATTTGGTGGCGATGCTCGGTCGTTTAATGGAGCTTATTTTTCTGACGCCATTCGAGATTGGGGAAGCATTGTGGCCGTTGTTTGTGTTCCATCTTAAGGGAGGGTTGTTGTTATCACTATTCGTGTTCCAACTTTCAAAAATATTGTTCCCATTATTTCTGTTGGATGCGCGTCTTCCGTTGTTTCCATTATTAAATCCCAGGGCGTCATTAGACGGAGAAGAATCAGTGGGACCACACGACGAACAAGGAGACGAACAGGGACAAAAGGAAGGACATGCGCAAGGACCGCAAGGAAATGGACAGCCACAGGGACCAAAACAAGAACACGGACAGGAACCTGGACATGGGCAGGAGCACGGGCAAGGACATAAACAGCATTTGGGTTTAGGTATTTTAGCAAACGGACACGGACAAAGATACATGTGGATGGGTTCTTCTTCTTTTTTCTCTGAACATTTCTTATCCTCATTCACTAATCCATCCAGGAAATTTCCGAGTTTAACTCTAGACGGCGTCAACGTTGTTTGCTTGCATGGAGTGCAGTCTACAGGAGGAATTGTAACTTTGAACGGTGATGGGATGGGTGGTGGGCACGCGCATCTTAGTGTCGGTCGAGCCGGTTTGTTCGGAGCTGGAAATATTAAAACTAACTCGTTTTTTTTCCTTTTAGGTTCACCATCTTCATCAAATTCTTCTTCTTTTAAACCCGACATGTTTTTTTCTAAATCGGTTTTTGCCGCGTCGCCATTTGCATCCTCCTTTTGTGGTTCGTAGGCGTCCCCAACTAAATTTTTACGAACGTCGTTATTAACACTATTAATTCCTGTTGAACGCCGCCTATTTTTCTCTGTAGACGGTTCAACTCCAATATCTTTAGTTGGTTTGGATTTGAATGAATGTACTAATTCTGGATCGTAATCCACAGGATCGATTATGCCCATCGAAGCTCTGTATTTTCTCAAATTTTCAATCTGTAACTTGCAGAGTTCTGTACCTAACTGGTTTTGCTCGTCCACAGTCAGCTTACGACTGGTGTACATAATGCTCATTGGCCCGCAGTAAGGAGGGCAGAAGCATTGGTTGTCAATCTGCGGAAAGCAAGAATGTTCCGCTGCTTTTAGACCGTGAAGACTTCCATTCACCAAATTTTCCAAATCGGCTTCTGCTAAATCTGTTGTCGGTTTACGACCGGGTAGGTCTGAACTGGCATCGTCGTCGGCAGTAGTAGCATTTGATGACGAACCGCAAGGACAGTAGGAAGGAGCACAACAGGAGGGTGCACAGCAGAGGGGTGCACTGCAGGCTGGGGTAAAAACAGCCGGTACACCACAACCTGGCCGTGGACAACAAAATGGCGGATAGCAGCATGGTTTTGAACAGAACGGCATGCAGAAGGTGGAAAAACAGGATGAAGTAGCAGAACACTTTGGTTGATCAGAGTCGCTTTGATTATTAGAAGAGTTTGGATGGCTGTTCATTATTTTCCTAGCAATCTCCTTCATAGTGCTGCTTTTGTTTGGTGCATTATTAATGCCGACGGAAGATTTTGCTTTTGCATTGTTGTTTTCCGATAAGAGATTCATCGTGTTTCTCAGATTTTTTTGCGTGAATTTATTTTTTATTTGGTCGCTGACAGCTTTCATGTATATGCCTTTTATAGTATCTGGATCTTCTTTTTTAGTCATTAATTGAAAAATAGTTCGTTCATTCTCGTCATCTTCGTCGTCATCATCGTTGTTCTCCTCACTCCTATCAATCATATCTGTCGACTTTTTAGTTGAAATGTTGCTATTGTTATTTCCGTTGTTACCGTTGTTCTTCGTTCCTTTTGTCATCATCGAGAGTGCACTGGATGTACCAGACTTTTCACTTTTTTTATCAAAATTAGTTCCTTGGCTAAGATTACTGTGTTGTTTTCTAGTGGGCACCCAGACGTCGTTAGGACCAAGATACGGCGGTGCTTTCTTCTCGTTTGTTATCGTAATCCCATGCTCGCAGGCATTTTTCGGACTCGGGAGGTAACACGGGGGGACGGCGGCAAATGGCCCACTAATACCGCACACGCCTCCTGAGTACATTGGGTAGCAGGGACCGTTGTCTCCCCACGGAGCGTATATTTTCTGGGTGCTGAAAGGAGTGCGTCCGTGCATCATACAGTGGCAACACATGGGATAGGGGCAAGGATAGAGTATGCTGGTGATCGTCTCTTTCGGTACACTCACAATGGCTTCAGGTAGGGAATCTTCGCTGCTGTCGTCTTCGTAATTCATTTCTGTGGGGCGGAGAAGGTTTCGATTCAAATTTTTTTTTTCAATTTTAACTAATTATCAGCATCGGAATTAAATTATAGCAATGAGTTGACGATTATTCGCTTACTTCGTTTTTTTTCAAAGAATTAATTGTTTGCTAATTTTTTAAATGATTTCTTATATTATATTTTTTTACGGATGTTATTTGTTTTCGGTTGTTAAGATATTCAGTCATTAAGATTATACATTGCGTCAGATGCGATTTTTTCTCATATTCTTTGCAGAGTCATTTTGAAATTAATTCATTTTATTTGAATTTAAATTTTATATTAATTTTAATAATTCAAAAACAGTGAACAAAAAATGACCAAAAGTTTTGTTTCAAATATTTCCTCTCAAATTTTAATTCTTCTTTCAGGAATTTGAGATGTTATGAGGCACTACGATATTATGCATGACGAAGTAAAATAAAAAAAAGTTAATGACGTTATTTAACTTAGAAAAATAAACAACACAGCATAAATTTTTAAATTATCAATTAACTAAGATTTTATAAATAAAAACATCTGTAAAAACTCTAGAAACTTCTAACGCGTCACGATTGAGTAAAAACAATTATCGGATATTTTACCGACAGGTAACGAAAATTTAAAAATCGAAACATCGCCGAGTTAAAATAACATCTAACCATTCGGCAAACACGTTTAAAAGCAGACTGATTCGATAGAAAATTGCGGACGATATCGCAGCATTTAAAGATGGTCAAAAAGGAGAAGAAAGAAGAAAATCGGAAAAAATGTAGCAGTCCAAAGAATGAAAACATAAACGCTTGCTGTGACGTTTGTTGTTCGCCACCTAGCTGTCCTGCTTTCCCTCCTTGTCCAAATCTTTGTACCAACCCTTGTTGCAATCCTTGCTGCCCTTCACCATGCTGTACCTCTCCGTGTTGTACGTCGCCATGCTTTGTTACACCATGCCGTCCACCTTGTAGTCTGTGTGGTCCGTGTAGTCCTTGTGGTCCGTGCGGTCCGTGTGGTCCATGTGGTCCGTGCGGTTCGTGCGGTCCGTGTGATCCGTGCGGTCCGTGTGGTTCGTGCAGTCCGTGCAGTCCGTGTGGTTCGTGCAGTCCGTGTGGTCCGTGCAGTCCGTGTGGTTCGTGCAGTCCGTGTGGTTCGTGTGGTCCATGCAGTCCTTGTGGTCCATTGACTGGCGATTCACCGCAAACTGAAGGTGATCCAGATGACCCATATTTTGACGGACCTCAAGACGATTTTCAGAAAAGTCCTGGGGGTGGTTCTTCGTTTAACGATCCGCCAGAAAATGGTATCCCAAATGGTGCTTCTGAAATAGGTGGTGGCTCGGGAACACCATCAGTGAAAGTTGGTTCTTCCGGCAGCCCCTCGCGAAGTGCTCCTTATTCCGGTGGCCCTTCATTACGTGGCCCTTCGGGTGGTGCACAATCCTTCGGTAAACCTTCACTAGGTGACTCACCGTGTAAAAATTCCTGCTGCTCACCTTGTTCACCCTGTTGTTCGCCCTGTGGTTCGCCCTGTGGTTCGCCCTGTTGTTCACCATGTAGTTCGCCCTGTGGTTCGCCCTGTTGTTCACCCTGTTTTTCACCCTGTTGTTCACCATGTGGTTTGCCCTGTTCACCATGTGGTTCGCTCTGTTCCCCATGTAGTTCACCCTGTTGTTCACCATGTTATCCACCATGTTGTTCTCCATGTAGTTCACCCTGTTGTTCACCATGTTGTTCTCCGCCAGGCTGTGTTCCGTGTGGTTCATATCCATGCTGCCTATCGTCATGTTCTTCCTGTTCTTGTGGTCAACCATCCGGATCGAATTTGGGACAATCTAATCCGGACGATCCTAAATCCGAAAATTCCAGTCAGCCGTCATGTGCGAGCATGCCGTGTTGTTGTTACGTGCCACTACCCTTCTACACTCCAAAGCCAGTAACTTGCCCACATCCACACAATTGTTACCCACCGCCAGGAAGTTTTCCACCTCCGAGTTGCTACGAACCATTTTGCCCTCCAGGGTGCGTCGAACCTTGTAAAGGCCCTACATTTGACGGGCCCATAGATGTTGTCAAATCTCCGAGCTCCGGTTTATGCAGTGGCTGGGAAACGCCTATTTGCTGTCCGCCATGCGTCAATCCTTATTATAATCCAAAGTGCAACCCCTTCAACTACCCATGTGTACCTCCGTTGGATGAAACGAAGTGCGACACGTGTGCAATACCGGTTTGCAATACGGTTTTAAACGAGTTTGTCAGCGAGGCAGATTATAGACTACCAATGAATCCACCACCACCAACGCTAAAAAGATGCGCCAGAAAAGCTCGACCTAAACCGACCAGTCCTGTAGAAATTCAACTGGTTCGTAAGAAAAAACCTCCACCATGCGTTATTTGTCCATGCTTCTATCCGGTTCATTATCCGTGCCCTGTTTGTTCTCCTTATGATATGCCGTGCGTTCCTGAAGGGGTTGCCGTCAAACCGATGTCTTGTCGTCTTCCTTTCACTCACGCCAAAAAACCGAACATTGTCATCATCGATTGTGATCGTAAGGACGCGATCGTTAGCGAAATACTTGGCCTCGAAATCGAAAAAACAGAGCTACAGAAAGCTGTGGAAAAAGCCGCCATGGCTAAGGAAATGTCGAACGCCTCCATTGTAAGGAAGGCCAGTCTCATGAAAAGATCGATAAATTCCAAGAAATTATTGAAAGCTCAAACTGAGCTAAACTCGGGAAACAATTGCAACATCAAGGGAAGTTACAAGGAGGGTGAAACATTTGGTAGGAGGAAATGCTCGTTCGGCGTTTACAAGTGCAACGCCGATGATGCTGTGCACGGTGGAGGAGATGAAGCTAACAGTAAAACAAGCGAAAATGGCAGCAACAAAAACAAAGTCGTTAAAAACAACAGCAGCAACAATAATGACAACAACAAGAACAACAACGACAACGAGAACAACAACAATAACGACAACAACAACAACGAAAACAGTGATGTGCTGATGTTTGAAAATTCAAAGCCTCTCGCTTCTCAATTCACCACTCAGTTTATCAGCCCCTGCCCCGTCTACTGGCCCCACGTCTCCTCAACAACTCCACAATTACCAATGCAGTTTCTGTATCCATACGGACAATCACCATTCCCAATAACCTACGTGCCAGGTAACATGGCGCAAAACTTCTCCAACAATCGCAATGTTTTTCCTATGTACCAAACAGCACCAGCACAATTTCAACGACAGTTAGAACAACAAAAATTAGACGCTGTCACAAAGAAAATTGTCCAGAAATCACAGAAACTTCAACCACAGCAGCTTCAACCACAGCAGCTTCAACCACAACAGCTTCAACCACAGCAGCAAACTCCTCAGCAGCAGCTAGCACAGCCACAACAACTTTCGATACAACCGCTACCACCACAACAAAATTTTATGCAATCGCCTCAAAATTTCATACCGGAGAAGCAGCAGCAAGTCGTGAACCAAACCGCGCAACAAACACCTCAGCAGGACCAAAACCTTCCACAGCAGTTTTTATCATCGCCAGTTTTTTGTCAGCTACCACTTATGCAGCAGCAGCAGCTACAACAAACACAACCACATTTACAGCAGCAGCCGCTAGTCAAACAACCACAACAGTTACATCTTCCACAACAACAACAACCACAGCAACAACAACAGCAACAACAACAGCAACAACAACAGCAGCCTGACCCGATATCTCCGCAAAATCTGACCGGCAACAATTATCAAAACTCACTCCAGCTGACGTCAGAGCCCGCAGTTTCTGAACTGACGCTAACTTCGCTGAGCTCGGCCGTCAATGTCAACACCAATTCTCCGGGCACCCTGAAAAGAGATTCCATGGGCCCCGCACCTTCCGATGTAAGAAGCGATGACACCAGTTTGAAGTCATCGAAGCCAACTCAGAGCATCAAAAACTGCGTGTACATCGACGATAGAGATTACATCAGAGAAAGCAAGAGGAGGCGATCTCACTTCGAACCACCGAATGTTGGTTTATTGGAGCATCCGGATGAGTTGGACGAACCGGAAATGGAAATAGACCCCTGCTCACCCTGCATCAGCTGTCATCCCATTTATAAATGGAACAATTTTAGACAGAGAGAGTTGAGTTTTTACCAGAAGACGAATAAATTCTGTTGCGGGTCGAAAATTTGCAACAACGTCGGTCGGTTCGATAGGCCGATTCGAAATTGCATCTGTTTCTCGGCCGACGGTCCATACCCGCCAACCTGCGAATGCGATGAAAGTTCCATGTGCCCCGGTGTACCAAGAGATAATCAGTAGTAGTCGTGTGCGTGTGTGTGTGCGTGTGAGTGTGTGTCCATTTGAAATATATCTATGAATAACGTTTAAATAGCCACTTTTCGTTTGTTGGACTCTTCATTGTTAAAAATGTTGAATCATTAAGTCGGTTGGTTATTGATGTCGAATTCTTTTCTTTTCGCACTTATGAAACATTTTAATTTGTTTAAAAAGTGAATAACTTGCTAACAAATAAATAAACAAATGATTTTTTGGCATAAATATATTTCTTAATTTAATTTGTTTAAACGTAATAACATCAATCAAAAACTTAATAATTCTTCAAATATGGTACTCAGATTTTAAGAAGAGTTTGACACCAAAACTATTGAATTAAAATGCAACAGCAGTCTCAAATAACCGTTAATGATAACAATAATGATGATGGTGGTGATAAACCAGAACTCCGTAACTTCTACTTTCAAATCAAATTGAAAAACTTTCTCAAACAAAAATTAGTTCAGTTTAATTTTAGTCGTTTAAATTTCTACAATTTCAAAAAATTCCAAATTAAAAAAAGAATCGTGGAAATATAAACTCAATAAAGAAACCAAAGTGTGAAGTTTCAATCATTCAATCAATTAGTTTATAAAGCGCCATTTCCACGATTTTCAACAGCGCTCCTCAATGAATTTTACAAACAGATGGGTCTTGAGATCCGCTCTGATTTTTGTAAGTGATGAAGAAGTAGTCAGAGAAAGAGGTAAAGAGTTCCAGAGAAAAGGGCCAGAAAAAGTAAATGCAGATTCAACTAAAAGGTAACTAAATGGGTGAATCCTTGAACGTTATCGGTCAACAAATGGTCTTTATAGGCAATTATATGTCTTAAAATAGTTACAACGGTTATATTTGTACTAAAATCCCTTCAATAACTTGAAGTGGGGGGTGTAAGTCGTCTTTCCCCTCTGTGAACGTCCCTGATCAGCAGTGTCTAGATCTAAAGGGATACCAGTTTGAGTATAGTGGAAAAAATTGCTAAAAAAAACGCTTTTATTTAAAAAAATTGCATGAACACCACGTTAGCTAGCAATTGTTTGAGGTGTGCAAAAATCTATCCCGCGATGGGGATTTTAAAATTTGAGTACTATTATATAAGTAGTCTATAACGTAAAATTATATGTTCATTCATCCGTTTTTTCGTTTGATAGATGGTTGGTTGATTGGTTGGTTCATTCATTTGTTCGTTCCTTAATTAATTCATTAATTCATTTTTTCATTTGTTCGTTCATTCATCAATTCGATGGTTAGATGTTACATGCTGCTTTGCACTATATAACTCAAGTGCATATTTTCCCCCCTCAAATATCCTGAAAAAGTTAAGTGCTTTAAGATTAAACGCTCATGACGTAAACATAAATTAAAATACGTAATACTATACAAAATAGCGAGAGGTTTCAAGAATTAAGGAACTAGTAAAAAAAAATATAACAAACAAACATCATAAATTTAAAGTCTTGTAAAAAAGTGAAAACCGAAACGAAACTAGGCGGAACAAAACGAAACAAGATAACGAAACTCGAAACAAAAACAGCGAAACGGTTATTTAGTAAAAAGTTATTTATTAATAAATAAATATTTTGAATCAATAAAGTTATAACAAAAAATTGGCAAATGTTAAAATGTGTCAGAGTTATGGTACTGATAAGCTGATGTGTGTTGAACTAGAAAATCAGAAGTGAGTAACTTTTGATTAATATTTTCACAATTTATTATGATTTATCATAATTTGTTATAATTTATGATGAAACTATCTTTATAATTAATTTTAAATTATTATAGATTTTATTCATTTCAAAATGCCATATTCATGTTAAATTAAATTAAGCCTTTTATTTGAAACACGCAACACATTTTGATCACTGATGACAACATTTTAGAATAAAAATCTCATCCCAAGCACATCCCTACAATCACCCCCAGTTACTAATTTACTAAATTTCACAATCCTAAAACTTTCACAGCAACTAATTCAATAATTCTGCGTTTAATCAATTAGGAAATTTGACAACCTGCAATCACAAAATTGGAACACACTGCAAAGAAAAAGCCCAATTTTATAACAATATTGAATAAAAACATTTTGGACACCTCCCTATAAATCTCCCAAATACTAATTCACTAAATAATTACTTTTTTTGTATGAAAAAAACCTTCAAAAGATTCTTGAAAACGCAATAGAACTTGCATTTCGCTAGTTAAAGCGCCTCGCGATAGAGCAAGCCAAATCTGATAAAAATGCGAAAAAATTTGAGAATAAATATTTAAGGCACATCCTCTCAACATCCCCATTTACTAATTCACTAATTATTTGTATAAAAATACATTTTTTACGCAGGACTTCTTGTGACTGCAATAGAGCTTGTAATCCTCAAATCATAGCTTCCTGCAAAGAGCAAGCCAAATCGTATAGAAACAAGTGCGTACCTCACTGCGGTCTTGGAAAATCTGAAGAGTACTGTAAATCCGTCTGTCTGGTCTGCGACAGGAAGACCTACGTTGCTAATCCCATTTACACGGAACAGCTGAAGTCCGGTTATATGGGTTAGAGACGGTTTTTTTGGTAGTGTTTCTGGTGGTGGGTGTTGTTTCTGGTGGTGGGTGTTGTTTCTGGTGGTGAGTGTTGTTTCTGGTGGTGGGTGTTGTTTCTGGTGGTGGGTGTTGTTTTGATAGCTTGATATATTGGCGTCTTTAATTTTTTGATATATGCTCGTCTTTAATTTTTGAAGAATAGTTTGAGAATGCGGAAATAAATTTTTAAAATTTTTTATCTTTTCTAGTAGTTTGACATCTTACGTGCATACTAATGATCTCATTTTTCGCTCGAGACAAATCATACCCGGTTGTGAAACATTCAATCACACCAGCAATAATGAGAGCAACAATGATATAGTAATGGAAGCAACAATGATATAGTAATGGAAGCAACAACAACAACAACAATAATAATAGTAATAAAAACAGCAATAACAGTAATAACAATACCAATAATTTCCTAACGAAACACTCCAACACTCCAGGTCACGTTCCGGGTAGTCAATTTCAGTTGGGACTATCCTTCCCGGAAGCAGGTATCATAGGGGTGGCTCAGTTCGAGCAAGCTCGTCGCTCCAAAGCCAAATGCGATCACAAGAAAGAAGCCTGTCCGTGCAAGTGTGCCCAATTTTGCGATTATAGTAGGTTCAACAATAGCAAAAACATCTGTAACAACAACAACAAGGTCGACAATAACGACGGCTGCGACTTCAACAACGACTACAACGACTACTTTAGTAGCAGCAACAGCACCAGTGACGGCGGTATTACTAACAATTGCAACGGCGAAGTAGACAATGTAAGCAGTTGCGTTCTAAACAGGAACAACAATATGAATTTCCAAGAAAGTCACGTCACGAAATTTGAGAAGATGTCTGCGAACGACAATAACTCCGCCCTGAAGAAAAATGCGGCCGGTGTCATTGCAGTCAGCGCTAAAAACTGTCAAAATTTGAATTTTAAGCAGAGGAATTGTGGAGGTGAGATGGAAGGCAGAGACATTTTCTCACTTTATCGTTTAGATGAATTAAACTCTTTGTAAATGACACATTAAATTGGTAAAAAATGAAATAAATCATCATAACCAAATTTAAAATAATTTTCACTACAGGTTTCACTGGATGGCGCCAAAGATGCATAGCGGAAGAAATGAAAGAAGAAGAACCGAAGAAGGAACAAGACAGAGAGGAGGGAATAGAATGCGTTATATGCCCCTGTCCGGTTCCATGTCCTTGCCCATTTTCTCCGTGCCCCCCCTGCGGACTTGGATGTCCCTGTCTTCCAAACTGTCCCCCATGTTACCCTCCCTGTTGCGCATGTTCGCCTTGTTGTGGCAGCAAGTCTTCGTGCTGTGGTTGCGGTTGTACGTGCTACCCGCCAGGCTTCTGTCCGTTAGGTTCGCCTTGCAACTGCACACCTCCTTCCAGCGGGCCCTGTTCCGCTGTCTTCCCGTGTGATGGGGTCATCGGTGGATTGATGGGGCAGCTAGATAGGCAAGCTAATGATGATGGCGCGATAGACGAGAACCAAAATATGGACAACAACAAAGAGTCTGGAAAAAATTTGGACAACTCTAAACACCTGAATAAGAACATGTTTAATAACGCCATCTGCCATGGTGGCTACGTTGAGGGTAAGGATACTGGCGTACCATTCCACAAAGTTGAATATCCGTGGGCAAAAGCAAAGATCCCACCTGCCCAGGAAGAACTTGAATGCGACGGACCGAAAATGATTTTTGCTTTCCCAGTTCCAACAGCTACTTGTAGATGTCCGTGTCCTTGTCCCTGTCCAGTTCCATGTTGTCTGCCGGAAAATAAAAAAAAACCAAGTATGAAAAACTACGAGACGTGTCCAAATCCTCCCCCCAAACCGTTGAAAATTTACTTTGCTGAAAAAGATGAACCTCCAACAAAATGTGAAGGTTGTCCTCCAAACTGCTGTCTGAACCCGTGTGTTCCTTACGGACCCGCTTTCAGCACTCCCTGCTGCAATCCCTGTGCTCCACCCGGATGCTGTTTGCCAGGCTGCTGTACGCCGGGATGTTTACCTGGATGTTGCAGTTCAGGTTGCTGTCCACCTGGATGCTGCACTCCAGGTTGTTGTGCACCTGGATGTTGCACTCCAGGTTGTTTTCCGTCTGGATGTTGCTTACCGATTGGTTGCTGTGCACCTGGTTGTTGCTGTCCAGCTTGTTGTCTGCCAGGCTGCTCTTCCTCAGCCAGCGCTAATAATGGTGGGTTCTCATCTTCGGGTTCTCCATCCACATCATCTCCGTCAGGTTCACCTTCGTCGGATTCTCCTGGATCTTGTGGAAGTTGTGGCGTTCCTTGTTGCGTAAATCCGTGTAATTGCGCTTGTTACTCACCTCCCTGCATGCCTCTCTGCACTCCTTTCTGCTCCACTTGCATGCCACCAGCTGATCAACCTAGTCAGCGTGAACAAATAAA